CACTTTAGCGCATGCTGATAATACACCTTACTAGAGCATGCGATGCGTGCGCATAACACACCCCTAGTGTATGCTCATATCACACTTTAGTACATGCGGACAGCGCGACTTACATGCTGTTAACACGCCTTACATGCTGTTAACACGCCTTACATGCTGTTAACACGCCTTACATGCTGTTAACACGCCTTACATGCTGTTAACACGCCTTACATGCTGTTAACCATGCCCTCGGCATCACAAGTCAGCACTTCAGCGGTGGTGCAGTCGTCCCCTTGATTCCACCCCTTGAACGAAACCACCTGACCGCCCACGCTCATTGCCGCTCGCAGGTCCTGGATCGCGCGCACTGTCCAGCAGCAACAGGAGGTGGGGACAATAAACCAGGTGACGGAGGAAGTAAGTTGAGACGAAGAGCGGCCTTTAAAAAGCATTACTACTATTTTAATATTACCAGAGCCCAGAGGTCGTGTAACGCCTGCCAGCTTACAAGTGGTGAAGGGTGAACCTCGTTTTCACCCAGTGGGTAGCGAGGTTGGTCGTCTCAAAGCCAATGATGCTACTTTTGGAAAAGCAAGTCAAGAAACGATACCGTGTCCAAGAGGGGACAACTGCGTCAGAATTGTGTCACAATGGCTCCCATGAATGTGAGCTTTAAGGCTCCCCGTTACCTTGAGATGTATTCCAGGGAATGCCACTGGCGAAGTCGGGCAGCAGAGGACCCAGCAACAACGCGCGGAGCAAAATCTCCCACAGAAGTTGTAACGGTTCGAGCTGACGCCTGCTATACGAGTAACGCCTCTTCATCGTGGCTACTTCTACTACTATCGGTACTACTACTAGTACTGGAAGGAACGGCGCTGTGTCTCTGACGTCCCTGTACCGGGAGGTAGCTCTACTAAGCAGAAATCCTTTCCGTGTGGCGTCCCTCGCTCTCCTTTACCAGTCTCGCGACTCAGATGTCCATGGCAGCAAGGAGATTGTAGTAGGCACCATGACCGGTAACAGCGAGAAGTGAAAATGAGGCCATGGGTCGCCTCCAGGTCGTTGGGGGTCTCCGTGCGCACGAGAGAGTCTGAGAAGTATCCAGAGAAAGGACGCTGCAAGTAGGAGCAGACGGAGTCAGCACCGCCGCATTTGATCATCAACAACCTCCACACGCTGAGTCAGCGTGTCTGGTGACCTGCCAAACGTGAGTCGACTCAAAAATCACGACTACGTTGCCTGCATTGATGATGCTGACGCCCTCCACGCGCATACAGCGTGCCTGGTGGCCTGCCAAACGACTGACTACGTTACTAGCAACTGTTTTGAACATTTACTAGCAACATGATGATTGCATGCAAATGTCGATATATTGAACGTGCGACCAAACCTTTTATTTAGGTCAAGGTCCCAGCCCAGGCATGTCCCTGGCCCTCGGTGAAGGGAGTTCCATTCGTGATGGTGTGTTGCCAAATACGGTGCGACTTTGGCGGGTAGACTTCAGGACCGTGTCTTAGTACTCGGCATTTACTACTATCACTAGTACTACGTAGGGTTAAGTGACACATCGCCACGACTGGCTTAAAAAAAAAAAGGGAACTAACAACTACTACGAGGCTAGCCTCGTTCTTTGTCGTTATACTATGTCGTGACGACAAAGAACGAGGCAGCAAATGGTGGCGTGCGGTCCGGTTTTGCTCCATGATACAGCCTCCTACGGGTCGTTGTGGGTCTCTGCGAGCATGAGAAAGTCTACTGATAAACAATACACAACAACACAAGCACGAACCATCTGGCTAAGGACGCGTGTGAGCAGGGAGGAGTCAGCACCTAATCAATTAGCTCCTGCTGACTGCTCAATTTGTCAGCCACCGATGCAGACGCGGATAATTTGTAAAAAGGTCACGCAGAAATGGTGGAACTTCACGCACCCTCGACGGGCCAATATCAACTCCATTCAGATTTTGCTAGTGCTATTTTGCAAATGCATTCCTTCGACAGTTCAAACCGGAAGAAGCTGACGGACTCTCGGATTAGATACCGGACTCACTGTTTTAAAGACATCGCAAACCGGTTCATTATCTGCCCGCGGTCAGAAAAAAATAAACCACATATGGATGGCATGCGATAGGGAAGCCTCAACCCTAAACACGGATAATGGCATGGTGTTGCCCGACCGGCCGACATCTTTCCTCCAATACAAGCAAAGGAATGCATTTGCAAACCGACACTTGCAATTTTTGAATGCAACTGGAATTGACCGACCCTAGACAAGCCGAGGATGTCGTCTTCCTCGCGAGATCGGGTGCAAGAGAGGCCAAATGATCTCGGCGTTGTGACCATTGCCCACGTCAACAAGGCAAATACCCAGTCTTGGCTGAGAATAACAAGGTATTCCTGTATTTTTCAATGCAGTCCTGTTTTTAAATGGGTTATTTTCGGCCCTGAAAGTCATAGGGTGATTTTTTCTTATGTGTTATTCGTAAGACATTATATCATTGACTCTCTCCTTCGTGTCTCGTTTAAACACCAAAGCCTTCTCATATTCATGTTATTGGTTCTGTTCCGTCTCTCCCCCCACTAAATCTTCCAACAAAACCCCCTGCCCGATATTACCAACTTACTGGGTCATATGTCTTTCGTACAAAATGTTTCAGAGAGAGTAGTTGTGTTTTTTTTAGCAATGTTGTTATTATCTGCTCCCAGACCCCTCAAAATCGATGACAATCAGGCCCTTTTGCCCTTTCTGGCTCAAACCGATATCTTTCAGGGCTATTTCGACTCTAGCTCAAAATTTACATGGTAAATTTATAGGGCCCAAACTATCCGAGCTAGCAAAAATCCTAACATAAGCCCTGGTCGTGACTCGGGCCACGCGAGGGAAACCAGGCTGGCACTCCCCTGGCACAGCCCCACTCAGCCGACCCTCCTAGTGAAAAAAATCCGAAGCCCGACCCTTCGAGCCCTGACTGGGATGTCGTTCCTTTGCTGCTCGTAGGGACCACCCGCTGACGCAGCACTAAACCAAATGACCCAGCTGGGTGAGGACATGGCCAACTCAAACAGCTCCCTAAGCTGCTCGTGGGGACCACCTGCTGACGCAACAATAAGCCAAATGACCCAGCTGGGTGGGGACATGGCTAACTCAAACAGCTGCCCCGGCCTGAACCAGCTGGCACAGTTCGCAGATTTCTAGCGTTTGCGCTGCTGATCAGGCTGTGGCTTGCTTCGTCGTCAACGAAATTTTTAACTAAATCGGTGTGGATTTACCCTTTGAGTTGTGTGGGCATGTCTACCACAATACCCTCCTTATTCAACTGTGTGTGGACGACTGCATGAATCGGCACTGTCACTCGGTGAGGGGCGGTAGGGTTGGGCGAGCCGCGAGGCTTGTCAGTAGAGTTCCCGTCTGCTACAAACTCTCAGTGTTTCCCTTCTTCTCATACTCTTTAGGCTGCTCACCTCCCTTACTATACTTCTCCAAGCGATGCCCGGGCCGGTTGTACGCGAACCTGCGGCCTCGAAACGGCGTGACAGCGGCATTCGCGGATACGGCACGCACCATGGCATGCACACCCCTGTCGGAAACTTCCCCCCCCCCCTTCCCCTTTTGTGCCTCTCTTAGTGCCACCCCCCCCTTGCCCCACTGCCTCCTCCTCTCTCCTGCCCAGCCCTCCGTGTCCCCTGTGCCTCAACCGTACTCCTACCCCTCTCTTCCTCGACCGTGTATCTCTTTCTCACCCTCCTCTGGTTCTCCCTGACAGCTCGTCCTCTGACTGCCGCTTCTTCTCTGCCACTCCCTGCCTTTCTCCTTTTTGTCTCTACCCCACCTTCTCCTTGCCCTTGCCTTTGTTGTCTCCCTTCTCGGACCCTTCCTGCCCCCTTCCATGGCGCATTGCTGCCGTCCTCGCGCGCGTCATGGGACCCTGTGGTCCGCCCTTGCCCTTCTCCGTGCGAATCCTGGCCACATTGGTAACGTGGTCCGCCACCCGTTTTCCTTTCCCGTCCTCTAGCACTATCACCCCGGACGGCCGCACCTCCTTAACCGTCCACCGCTGCTGTGAGAGCCCCACGTCCAAGGCGTGCTTACGCTGCCTCCTGAGGTATACTTCTTCCTCCTCCTGCACTCCCGCTGATGCCCCTTTTCCGTTGGTCTCCTGCCTCTGTTTGTACCTCTCAATGTCCCGCAACTGCGCAACGTGTAAGTTCTCTAGCGCTGCTGGCAGCAAGTGCCTCAAGTATGCCGCCCGCACCTCTGCCACAGCCACCCACTTTTCTGCTGAGCCCGTGGTCACCACATCCTGCAGCAGCTTTGGTGCCCCCACTGGCATCACCGGCTCTTTGCCGAACAGGAGGTAGTAGGGCGACACATCTTTTAGTGCCGCCTGCTTGCTATAGCGGTATCCTGCCATTACCCAACAAAGCTTCCTGTCCCAGTCCCTCTTATGTTCTTCCCCGTAGGCCCTCAGTCTTCGCTTCACGGTCTGCACCAGTCTCTCCGTCAGCCCATCGCTCTGTGGATGGTATCGTGAGGTGGTCCTGTGCCTGATGCCGCTGGCTTTCAGTAGCTGATCGAATGCCCCCTCGAACTCGGTGCCCTGATCTGTCAGCACTTCTCCACATGCCCCCAGCCTCGTAACCACCATTTCCTCGAAGGCTTCTGCCACTGCCTCCGCCGTCTTGTTCACCAGCGGCTTGGCTTCCGCCCATTTGCTCACGTGTTCCACCATCAGGAGTATGTATCTCCGTCCCTTCGTCGTAACCGGCAGCTCCCCCGCCATGTCCAAGGACCACCGATAGCCCAGACTCACCATGGGTAAGGGCTGCAGCTCCGCCTTCTCTCTTTCCAGCACGGCTCTGTTCCTGCAGCAGGCGTCACACTTCCATACCTATTCCTTGATTTGCTGCCGCATGCCCGCCCACCACCACCTTGTCTGCACCAGCTGCTGCGTACGCAAGGGCCCGTAGCGCTTAACATCCCCTGAGAACCTCTCCGGCACCTCGACCTTCGGTAGCTGCGTATATTTCCAGCGCTGAACCACCGTCTCCTCCTCCGTCCCCTGCCACGAGGCGCTTCGCTGGTACCCACTGGTCCCCCCTTGCTGCGAGCGCGTCGGCAGCTGACTCCGCTGGCGTTCTTCCGTTCCTCCGGACGCGTTATTCCCGCCATCCCCTGCCTCTACGCGAGTGCCGTCTTGCAGCCCACTCACTCCTTCGCCGGGCCCGTTCCGTCCTGCTGTTCTCCCCGTCTCCAGCGACTGATTCGCCGCCTGGTTATCTTCTCCCTCGTTCTCCATTTGCTGGCTTTCTTCCCGCCTTAACTTCGCTCCTTCTATCAGTCTACCCGATCGTAATTTCATAAATCCAGACTGCATGTATGTAAGCTCAGACCCTTCCTAACTCATCCTGACTGCTTGTTATGGCCTCGTTGCTCACTGCTTGTGTAGTAGTAATTTGTAGTAATTCACGAAAACATACATGCAGTGGCAGTCCCATGGCCCAGGAACCAACCTTAAGCTTCCCATCACAACCCTAGCTAGCCTAGCCACACGATTGCGGTTCTGCTGAACTGCCTAGCTAGCCATCCATTTGGTACTTCTGCCTGCCTCCAGCTGGCCTCGCTGACTTCCAGCTTCCTCCTGGACTCGGTGTCTGCAAGGAAAACAAACACACCACACATGCACACCATACACCACACATTCGCATATCACGCCCACGTCATCTCACTGCCAATCCTGCCAGCACACCTCCCCCCCAGTTCAGTCCACCGCCTACGTGGAGTTGCCAACCCTTTTTTCCTGCCAGCTGCCATCCCCTCGCCGAGTGTACCGCCCTGCTTCACTTCTGCCGTTGCAGTTCCCCGCTACTGAGCGTCTCGCTTATTTACAAATATACAAGTGCCCTTCTTGATCCCACTCTACACCCTCTGTCAGTACTTCTTAGGTGTCAGCCTTAGAGTCCTGACACCCTCGCTCTCGCACATGGACTCGCACACACACACACACACATACACACACACACACACATACATACACACACAAATACACACATACACACACACACACATACACACACACACACACGCACGTGCGCACGCACGCACGCATGCACGCGCACGCACGCACGCACGCACGCACGCACGCACACACACACACGCACACACGCACGCACACACGCACGCACGCACGAACACACATACATACACACACACACATACATACACACATCCACACATACTATTTCTCACAACCACCTTTCATGTCCCCTCATTCGCCCACGCGCCATCTCTCGCATCCACCTCCCAACTTGCCACTTCTACGTTTTTCTCCTTCCCCCCCATGTGCCACCTCCCCCACATCCACCTTCCTTAGTGCCACCTGTGCAAGAACGAGTGGAATCGGGTGGCGGCGATCGGCACGAGGCGGTGGTTTTGCATGTTTGGCGTGGTGGGCGGGCGGCTGTACGTGGCGGGCGGCATCGACACATCCGAGCCTGGCGCCGGTGGGGTCCGTGGAGGCCTATGACGTGATTGAAGATCAGTGGTGGCATGTGAGGAACGGTGGACGCATGTGAAGTGAGGTGGGTGCATGTGAGGAGCGGTGGACGCAGGTGAGGAGCGGTGGGCACATGTGAGGAGCGGTGGACGCAGGTGAGGAGCGGTGGGTGCATGTGAGGAGCGGTGGACGCAGGTGAGGAGAGGTGGACGCATGTGAGGATCAATGCCGACTTTTGAGGCACCTCAAACAGCATCAGCACGTCCATTAGCCTGGCGCTGGTGGGCTCTGTGGAGGCCTATGGTGTGGACGAGGGCCGGTGGATGCAGGTGAGGGGCGATGGACGTAGGTGAGGAGCGATGAGGAGCGGTGACGACTGGTGCACGCGGGTGATGACCCGTGGGCTACCATTCTTCCCTGAACTCCTCCATTTGCACTCACGCCCTCGGCCATACTTCCTCCCTCCATCCCCTATCCCCGTTACCCCTCCTCCTGCCCCTCTTGTACCTCCTCCCGTCGTGTCCCCTCCACTCCCGGGCAAGCGGTCACAGCTTGAGGAGCCTCTAAGGACCTCCTGGCCTCAATAGACACCTCAAAGATCCTCCTTTCCTGCTGTGATTCTCTCTGCAAGGCAAAGCTAGTCTTTTGCGCGTGCCATTCCATCCCTCCCACTCTTGGGAAGGTGGGCACTCCAGCGGCATCAGCACGAGCGGAGCTGATGACACAGCCAAGGCTGTGACGCACGTCAATGGTCCTCGCTCATGGTGGAACAGAATCAATCCCCTGAAGCCTGAAAAACGCTTAAAGCAACATAAAAGGATCGGGACTTCAATTTCTTCCAGCACGAGCGGAGCTGATGACACTGTCGGGGTTGTGACACGCCTCAATGGTCCTGACGCCCTGTCGTTGTGCTCTCTGTGGAACAAAGACAGCTTTTTGTCTTTCCCACGTCCCCTCCCACTCCCCCACTTCGTGCAGGTGGGCACAGCAGTGGCATCAGCACGAGCGGAGCTGATGACAGGCGGTGGGGGGGGGAGGGGGGGGGGTCTCGTGGCAAAGAACATCAGATGGGGGCAGCGCCTGGGTGTGGCCTTCAACCCGCGCTCCAACGCTGTCACCGAGCTGCCCCCAACCATAGTCCAGGTGCGTGCGCAGTGCTGCCCCGTGGTCCAGGTAATCCATGCTGGCTGGTGAGGTGTGGTCAGGCGGTATGTGCAATGAGTGGTGGGGCACAGAGCAGCGCCTAGGTGTAGCATTCAACCAGCGCTTTAACACCGTCACTGAGCTGCCACCTGCCATGCTGCAGGTGAGGCATGATTGGTGGTGCAGCGTGGTGGGGTGGGCGATATGTGCAAGGCTGGGGCATAGAGCAGTGATGGGGCATGGCGTCTAACCCGCATGGCAATGTGTTGTTTACCTAAGCAGGTGGTTTCGGGGGAGTGCTGCTATGCTGCCATTCAATTATCCCCTCTTCTCGCCCCTCGTCCCCTATCTCTCTCCTCCCCTCTCCTCTCTCTGCCCCTCTCCTCTCTCCGCCCCTCCCCTCTCTCCGCCCCTCTCCTCTCTCCGCCCCTCTCCTCTCTCGGCCCCTCTCATCTCTCCGCCCTTCTCCTCTCTCCGCTCCTCTCCTCTCCTCGCCCCTCCTCTTCCACATGGATGGCAGGGCCGCACAGCAGCAGTGCAGAGCACATGTTTATATTTGACTTTGCTTGCTGTGGTGTGGTGGCATGGAATGATTGCCCTTTGCTCACCCTTTCCCCTTTTCGCTCTCCAGGGATGGCAGGGCCCAACAGCATTGGTGCAGGGGCACATGTTTATAGTTGACTTTGGAGACGAACACAGATTGAAGGCATGGGACCCACACACACACTCCTGGACGTGGGTCGGCAAGCTGCCAGTCATGTCCCACAAGCCGTGGGAGGTGCAGCTTGTCTGCTTCCTGGACCACATTTGTCTTCTTCTGTCGGACAGGTCGCTAGTGATGGCCCCTCTGCCACCCATGCTGAGACCGCTGGAGCGGCAGAGGAGGAGGAGGGCGAGAGAGGGGAGGGCGAGGGTGAGGAGAGACAAAGGGGTGGTGACAAGTGAAAGGGGGGAAGACACGAGTGTGTGGGGGGATGTGTGGAGGGGGACGAGGCAGAGACGTTTTGTTTGAAGGGGCAGGAAGGAATGACGAGGAGAGAGGTGGAAGAAGTGACGGGGAGGAGGAAGATGAGGTTTTTGAGGAGGAGGGGGATGAGGAGGTGGTAATACCGGTGAAGGTGATACCTGGGCCAGAGTGAGGGGAGAAGGGTCGGAGTTGGTGTTAACAAATGCTGTGCTGGGCTGCCAGGTGCTCTCTACGTAAATGCCATCACCAATAGACTGTGCACCCCATGGCCCGTTATGGATGCCTTCCCCCCTCTGCCCATCTTTCTTGCCCCCTGCCTTTCTTTCAATGCCTCCCACTCTTTTGATGCACACCCTTCTTTAAATTCCTTCATCCCTTTGTGTCGAGAAGATGTGGGGTGTATTCAATGAAAGGGGATAGAAATATGAATTTTAACAAGTTTTAAGAAGCATCTCACTCAGTCTAGCCTAGAAGTAACACACATGTTTATAGTTTGACAGTTTCGCCATCGTCCATCCCCTTTTTGACGCAGTGAACCCTTTTATTGTTGCCCCCTATCCCTTTTTAGACTTCCCCCACCCCTTCTCCAAGGGCCACCCCTTTTACTCTCTTATCACCTTTCCCAACACCAATGTCGTGTCTAGACCCTATCCTTTGCTTGACACCCCCAACCCACCTTTTTAACCCGCCCCCATCCATTCTTCAACAGCCCCCATCCTTTCTTCGACAGCCCCCATCTTAATTGCATCCCCCCTACCCTTTGAGCAATTAATGCTAATGTGCAGATTCAAGAAAATCACATTGTAATCGATTAAGCGCTACAAAAGAGAACCAACCAAATATCCACATTGGACATCAGATGGACACTAACAAAAGAATTTTCACCAAACAAGAGCCCTATCAAGGAACACCTGTGACAAATGTGTGTGCAACCAACCAGAAAAGGCCACCTAATAAGCAGAATGCAGTAATAAGCAGAGCATGCAATCAGATTTGTCTTTGTCATATTGAGTTTAATCTTCTCAAGGGGCTTCGAGCAGTCAACACCCTGCATTTACAACAGCAGGTGAGCACACTCTCAATATTAGCATGTAAGGAATCTGTACTTGTGCAACTCGCGCGGTGGTAGTTGGAATGCTAATCTGCTGCTACAGATTTTCAAATTCCTTCACATACGTAAGCACAAAAGGGGACATGATTTGACTTGTTGGTGCATCTAAAGCAAGCAGCATTTGGTAATGAGGCACGTAGCAGTGAAATGCATTCCAGCAACATGGTGGTGAGGAATGAAACTCAGAGTCAAACGGCACCGTGTTCATGAGTTGGAACTCCTTTTGTGTGAGTCCGAAGAGGTAGAGCACGTCAGCGCACTGCCAGTTGCTGCCATTCACCATCAGTGTGGACGCACTGCCCCAACCTGTCGATGGAAGGGAGGGAGGCCGGGAGGCAGGCAAAGCATACACGCGGGAGGAGGGAGAGGTCAACAGAGGGGCAAAGAGACAAGGAGGATGATGGGAGGGGGGAGGGGACAGGCAACAAGGCTTTCTTTACTGAAGCAGAAAATCAAGCTATAGAAAGGCTAGTTACTATCATTGTCCACTGTGTTTGACTAAAATGAAGGATAAAAGGACTGAGGGACGAGTCATGGTGGATAAAAGGATTGACACGTTTGGGTAGGGGACACGGGTAGGGAAAACAAGGCAACACAATGAACTATTCTAGTGGTAACAAAAGAGCAACTTTTAGAGCGGGAATGAAAGGGGAAAGCTTTCACTTTCAGTGGGGAAGGACAGGGTGGGAAGAGAGAAGGAGGTTTCTTAAGAAAAGGGCTGCGTGGAAACGGGAACTTCGTGTGGAAAAGGCATGTTATAAGAGGTGAGTGAATGCAAGAAGGAGAAAAGCCTGTTCGAGTAAAAGAGAGTTGTGAACCAATGCTTTGCAACACGTCAAAATCCATATGTCCTTTCTTGTGGGAGATGTAGCTATGGAGAAATGACACCATACTGGAAAATGTTCCAGAAATTGCCCACTGAAGACAACCAACCTCTGGAGCAGGTGGGGAAGCCATCGACGGTGGAGTCCAAAACGTGTGTGGGCGGGCACACACAGGTGTATGAGCCCTTCTTGTCGTTGATACACGACCCCACCTCACATGGGTTCCGCGTACTGCCACTGCACACATCCACTGAGACACACAAGCAGCCGCACAGGAAGGCAGGCAGGTGGGCGGGCGGGCAGGCAGACGGACATGAGTCCAGCAAAAACTTGATTCACTTGTTTTACTCGACTGAAACGGATTAAGAGTCCTTGTTTGATTTTTTTTTTTTTTTTTTTTTTTTTTTTACTCGACCAAGTCGAACTCGTTGAGTAAGAACAAACTCTTTTCACTCATATTTTGCATCGTTGTTTTTTATGTTCACCAGCTTTTCTTACTTGACAAATGGTAAAAAAAAAAAAGTCGCGACACTTGACAATCCCGCGAGGCGCCAGACCGAGCACATAATCACTAGATATATTTATGTTAGGGTGGTATTGTTATGTACTTTTAATGAGAGTGCATTGCATGGCGAAAGCAGAAAATACCAGGCAGGCAGGGTGCGAGTAGCGTAAGCAGGAAATACCAGTTTTTTTCTTTTCTTTTTTTCGAAATTATGGTCAATGCATGAATTGGAATCGAAAAAAAAAAAAAAAAAAAAAAAAAAAAAAAAAAAAACATCACAGGAGCGAGAGGCACCCACCATAGGCACAGGATCGAGAGCCGTCGCCATTGGGGGCTTCAACGAAGGGATGCTTGCAGACACAGCTGTTAGAGCTGCCGTTCACACGGCACGGGAAGGAGCCACATGGGTTCATCACTGACGATTGATCTTCGCCGAATTTGTACGCCTTGACCATGCAAGGGTCGTTGGGGACTGATGAGGTAGGGGGGGCCAAATGAGGGATTGACGCGATTAAGGAGCAGACACTAGCACCAAGTTTTACTATTATGCATCGGCAGAGTTATGTAAAGGGAGGATGACTAGCAGGATTCCCTAGCAGACATAATGACGAGCTCGCGACGGCAAAGGGTTGCAAGACAGGGATGCCACGCTGAAGCACTAGCCGAGAAGCCTATCGGTTGGCTAAGGCACCTCGCGTTTGGCTTGAAGTTTGGCTCAAGAGTGAAGGCGGTTGGTCGACCTGAGGTGCCCCCAGCGACTCACTTCGGATGACAGGGTAAATGCTAGGCAGCACGTTGATGCCGCAGATGCCATCAGCAGGTTCAATCCCCATGTACATGTACCCACTCGCCCCCCACTGCGTGCCCCACGAGTTGCGGATCTTCCAAAAGGGCGGGGAGATGGTCGGGCGGCTGGTATCGGTGCCGACCATGAGAAAGCCTGTAACGAGTACAACATGGTTGAGGTTGCCCGTGTAGCACCCCGGGTCCTGGTACTTGATTGTCTGCATGCATACACTCCAACACGGAGGTCAGGGCACAAGGGGCACAGGTTGAAGGGTGTGTGCAAAGTTGGTGAGGCAAAGATGGCAGGAAGGCACGCACACCACATTGTGATCATAGTCGCAAAAGAAATCAAGCCTCTCGTTCTTGATAAATAGGATCGATAAGACGTGTTGTGTGGTGTGGTTGATCACACGTATAGCACAGTGCATTTGGTTCGTTTGTGGATGGATTACATCGATAGCATCGTTTTGCCTTTCATACCCCATCGGCAGTGACACAATGGAATTCAGAGATCTCCCCATCATTGGTAATAATAAGAATGCATTCAGCTCACGCATATCCCATCGTAGGAGATGCAGCAGAATTCAGTTGATGCATACCCCATTGTAGTCGATGAAGGAGGCGGCGCTGGCCTCGATGTGGACAACAACAGGCTGGCGCCACACTGCCAGCATGAGCCCAAAGTACCCCTTGAATGCTGTCCTCTCAAACCCCCGCACGGGGAACTTTGCCTGCATGCACAGGCACGCACATGCCGCGCGCACATTTACGTTCACATGCCCATCACATGCACATGCATATGCATATGCATATGCATATGCATATGCACATTCACAACATTCACATTTCACTTTGACATTCACATGCACATGCACATGCACATTCACGACATTCACATTTCACATTCACATCACATGCAAATGCACATGCACAAGCATATGCATATGCACACAGGCACGCATAATGACTTGGTGCCATTTCAGATAAATGCGAGGTGCTCACCACCTCGTTCTTGCTGGGAATGCAAGGCTAAGGGCGAGGAATGCGAGGATAGGTGAGGAGCATGTCAGCAGCGATGGAAGGGAAGGGAAGGAGTGCATACAGGTGGTGTTGATGGTGAAGCGAGAGCAGTTGCTTCAAGAGAAGGAGGGTGCGGTGCTGCTGCAGATGAGGTCAGGGACGCAGGGCAGGAGAGAGAGGAGGACGAGGAGGAGGAGGAGGATGAGGAGGGGGTGGGGGGGGAGGCATTGGTTGAGGTCCCACTGAGGCCGCCACCCTTCACGGCAGCCTTGACAAGCTCCTCAAAGGCCTTGGTGGGAGAGCCGCTGGTGCAGCCAGGGAGCCCCATGAGTTGGTAGAGGGAGTCGATGGAGAGCGATGGGAAGGACTTGATGCTGTTATTCACGATGCCGTACGCTGCTTCTATGCTTGCCACCACCGCATACGCCCAGCAGCCCTCTGCATGCGTGGAGAGGGAGAGTGGTGGAGACAGGAGCCGGGGACAAGGTCAGCAGCTGACGCAAGCACAATGAATCGACAGAAGCTAGAAACTGACGGAAGCCACCGCACGAGCCTTTGTCCTCGGCGTGCCCGAGCTTGCCTTTGTTGCTTTAAGTATAGTGAAAGGGAAGGTGCAGAGCCCCAAGGCTGCAGCCTGCCATAGGTGGTGCGGGTATACTTATAAGGCACAGCGGCCAAAAGGCTCACCACGCTAACCTGCTGACTCGACTCAGATGTCACCAAGCCTCACCGCAGGAGAAGCCCTGGTCCTCAGGCAGCCAGCGCGGGTCGACGGCCCATGTGGAGTAGGTCGGCATTCGCCACGAGTCCTGCTCATCCTGCTCACCGCCGTACCCCGCGCTCACGTAGCGTGTGAAGGGGCTCGTGGTGTTGGGGCGGAACATCTCTGCATCCACGCTAAGGCATGTGGCTGCAGGAAGGCAGGGAGCAGCAGCAGGGGGCGTGGGAGCGAGGGGTTGGGAACGAAGGGGTGGATTGAATGCAGCAGAGCGAATTGCATCCAAGTCTGGACGGGTGGCTGCAGGCAGGGAGCGACAGTAGCCTGCAGGGGCGTGGGGGCGAGTGAGGGGTGATTGGAATGTGAGTACAAAAGGGGCGCCATGAGGCTTGTTAGGTTGCGATGAGCTCTCAGCGAGGCTTGTTAGGATGCGCCATGAGTTCTCAGGAATGTTGTGCCGCGCACTGGGCATCAGCACTCTACCAACTTCGGTTCAGTTCAAGGCGAACCGGTTCGCCCTAGAGGGGGGGGAGAGGGGAGAAGGGCGGGAGGAGGGGGGGTGGGGGGGGGGAGGGGGGGGGGAAGAGGGGGGGGGGAGGGGGGGGTTGCCTCCGGGATTAGGTCAGTTCTGGTTGGACTCGTCTCATTTTGGCCAGTCCCACTGGTTCGGTTCCGAGGCACGTCAAATTGCATCCAACTGCGGCCGGTTTGAGCCGTGGAATTTCAGATTCAGGCAAGAACTCAGAGTTTGGAGCTATTTTTCAAGCTACATAATTTATGTGTTAAGATTGACACTTGAATTAACCTTCTAGCATAGAAAGATGAAAGTTAAAATGATACTATGAAGGTTCTGGACGGACGAACCAGGACCGTTTCGAACGAACCGAACCACCTCTCTAATTCGGTTCAAACCAGTACCAATTCGAGCACTAGTGGTCGGGTCAAGTACCGGCAAATCACAGCCACATGTTCAACCTCAACCGATTCTGGTTCGGTTCGTGCTCATGCCAACCATGAACTTCCTAGCGCAAGAACTAGGAGCATCTCTAGCCAGGAGCGCCAAGGACGGTGCTGCACAACTTACTTCGAAAATCTGGAAGTGGTGGGGGCTCAGCGTATCTTGCCAGGAGAAGAAAGGCATTCAAGATTTCGAAAGCCATTTGAGACTTGAGAAGAAAGGCATTTGAGATTTAGAACGAACACAATTATTGTGACGTGGAATACTTGGAGGGGTTTCCTGAAACTATGGTCTTATTTTTGCTGCCTTCTGTGCTTGTGCAGTGCATGCATGGTGGTGTTGTTAGCTGCTGCAAGAAAGCTTACCTCTTTCAACAGATTCGATGGCCACAGCATGCTTCTGCGCATGCAGCCGTGTCGCGGCCACAAAGCCAAAGTAGAAGGAGGAGGACGCTCGCGTGGGCTGCAGCACGTCGCAGAGAGAGAGTTTCATAGACAGCGTGGGTTCGTTCGGGCGAGCACTGAACGCCGATGCAAGAAACACCTTCAAGCTCTCTGTCTCCTCAGGTTTGTACTCCACCCATGCAAAGTACATCCTTCCGTTGTTCAGCGCCGTTGAAACTTTGGCAGTCACCTGGGAAAAAGGGCTGCCTTTCAGGTTGATGCCTATGTGGCTTGCGCTCGTGTCATTGTGCTCCTGGTTCAGCCACGTGTCAAACTCCACTGCCACGCTGCGCTTGCTCATTCCTGCATATCCCACGCCGCTGGCGGCGCCGCTAGCAGTCTCGTTCGTTGCGGAAACGACAAACGCGAGCCCGTTTCCGCCCTTGCCACCAATCTTTGGAATCATCATGAAGGAGAAATTGGCCTTGAAGTAAAACTCAAGGCCACAGCCATCCCGGATGGTGTCGAAGGAGAAGAGCTTCAAGGGCGTCTTGGAGAAGAAGGATCCGCGAGACGGTGCAGTGCGGTCGGTGAGGGTGACCATGGCCTGGATCAGCGTGGTTGATTGGGGATACATGTTTCCTACCATGTGGTGGAGCATTTCCGTGAAAAATAACAGGGTGAAATGATTGTGGAAGCATGGAGTTGAGGTATGCACATCAGCGCATGCTCCAAATGTGTCAAGCTGAGATAGCGTAGGCATGAGCACACAAGCCGAGTGGATACTCGGCTCAGTAAACAGAAACCTTATTTCAACTTGACAGTTTGAGACAAGTGTGTGCGCGCATTGTTTACTCGACGAGTACAGAGATACTTGATAAAATAATTGTTCACTTCGCGCAAAATATGCACTTTGCCGACAGTTCTGTGCAAATCTGAAAATCTGACACGCGGATCTCTCACTACCATGGGTGAGATGGTCTTTCAGATTTATCTCACTCGTGCCTTGAAAGTCGATTGAGTCAGGCTAAACCGAGTCCAGTAAAACTAAAACAGGCTAAACCAAATCGACTTTTAAAATGCTCGTGCCTATGACTCGCGATAACCTCTACAGTCGAGACTCGAGTGATGTGCCATTCGTATGGCGGACTTTTATGAAAACATGGGATCATGGCACACAACGATTCTCACTTCACTCAAAAATCAATTTGGGAGTCATGTGCAATCTTCCTTACCTTCAGGGATACAGGTGCTTAGAGACTCTCCTGTGATGTACCCCTCATTACAGTTACACACAGGCGTTTCAGCAGCCCCTTTAAGAACGCACGTGCCAAAATCCCCACACGGAGGGCTTTTGCTGGAAAGGCCGCAGAACGGGGCGCATTCACTCATGGGCCGTTGGCGGATCTTGGAGCAGGACGAAGCCTTTTTCGCGGAGTTCCCTTCGAAAGTGAAGCAGTTGTCTTGGTAGAGGTCTGGTTTGCAGGACTTGGGCTCGGAGGCAGAAACAGAAAGGTAGTTCGTGTGTGCCGTGAATATGATGGTGCGTCGCAGCGGGACCAGCGCTCCAGTGAGCATATTGTTGTTCACATTGCTGTGTTGTGTGTGGTGGTCAGGGCAGGGGGGGTGCAAGCAACACAGGGATTTGGCTGCTTAGTCCTTGGAGAAGCAATCCAAAATTTATGCTATATGCTATAAGAATTATATTCTATGGGAAAGAATTTGTGGAAAGCCCCTCAGCATCCACATTACTGATCCAGACTGGCCTCGTGGCAAGTGGGATGCACAAACTTCATTGTCTATCGTTAGAACCTTATATTCTCCATGACTTTTGGCCAGTAGAAGATGTTCTGAGAGTGATCAGAGGGAGAAATTACACGCTGGTGAGTGCCACTTCCATTATGGTGAGAGTTGCTGACATTCTGGTAAAACAAGCCAATGAGCTTATATTGGAAGGTATTCTCCCTGAGAACCGGTTGTAACTCAAATCTCTGCTTTGCCAATGATGCACACATGATGGGCATGCACGATTGGAATGCACGCATCCATGCATGAGCATCCATCCAGTTGCCTCTGGACGTACATGAGTGACTTGCCTTTTGCACATTGTGCAATGAAACCAGTGTCCCAATTCAACCATACAGGGCAAGGATGCCTGCCACCATTCGGTTACAGTGAAGAGGTGCCCGCAATTTAGCTCTTGCTTTTTAACCTCTGCTGCCGGCCACCCTGTCAGTCTATTCTCCCACCCATTAAATCACACACTCAACACTCACTAGCATGAGAAAATGGGTTCACAGGCAAATTTTCACTTCACTGGTCGAAGGGGTTGAAACTTCGAGGCAAACAGCTTGAAGAAGAAACAAGAGTTTTTTTTTAGCTTGCTTGTGGATATGAACCTTGTTGCCATGTGCCTTCAATCCTCCAGCTTTCCGGAGGATAAAGGCAAGTGTGCTAAGCTACAAACAATGATAACACATTTGCCTCATCAGAGTAATAGTGTATACATTACAGCACATACACACACACACACACACACACTAGATGGCCAGACTTGGAAAACCGCCTTAATGCTTTAGCCTGACAAAAATACGACTTACAAAGTTTGAAGCTGTCTGAGCGGATTAAGATAGGGGGGCACCTGCCCATACAAGTGGTTCTGCTGCAAAGCCCTGCAGTGCAGAATAGCCATTGGGCATGCGTGGACACAAGGCAACAGCGCGGCGGGACACGGGGGGTTCGTGCAACTTGAGGAATATGCAAAGACGTTGTGTACCTGGGAATAGACGTGAGCACCTTACTGAACCGCAGTTTGGTTCGGTACGGCTCGGTTGGGTTCTATGCCCAGGTCGTTACGAACCTGTTCATTGGTTCGATTGGTTTGTTTACATGTTTTAACCGAGTCGTGCGCAACAAACAGATCACGGTTCGTCGTGAAAACCAGCGCGGCTCGCGATGCTTGGGGGTAGGGTTGAGCAAAGGGCGAACGCGAACATGTTTGCGTTCGCCCTTGCACGAACATGGACGTTTGGCGAACCGAACACTGTTCGGTTCGCCGAACGACTTACCCAAAAAAGGGTGTTCGGCGTTCGCATGTGAAGGAGTGCTCGGGCGAACCTTGAACACGTTCGTGTTCGACACGGGGCGTTCTGCAGCAGCGCCACGAATAAGAACGTGTTCGGGCGAACCTCGAACACGTTCGGGCGAACAATTTAAGCTGAAAAACTAGACCTGTTCGGTTCGCCTCAAACACGTTCGAGGCGAACCGAACAGGTGTTCGTTTCTTTGCTCATCCCTACTTGGGGGTACGAGGCATTTTGGGTGGAGTTGACTGGATGAGAGGACTGACAAAATCAGAGTTGCGAAATACGGACGCGGCACTACTTGGAAAAAAAAAGGCCCAAATGTAATGCACATTTCACCAGTGTTTTTGCACATTACACGTTGCTGTGCAGCGCAAGCACATTTCGCAACTGAGGCTACAGCTTTACTCCGGATACTATATCTGAATCGAACCGGCGCGCCGGTTCGTTGATTCAAGAACAAACCATGAATCGACCCCTTGAAAGGTTCATAACAAACCGGTTCGGTTCGGTTTGGATTCAAACCGGTTCAGTTCGGTACCTTGCTACGTGGGAAAATATTGTGTACTTAGGGAGCACGTTGCCTAACTGGAAACTCGTTGCCAGGCTGCCTGATTGGGAACAAGCTGCCTGATTGGGAACAAGCTGCCTGATTGGGAACAAGTTGCCTAATTGGGAATAAGTTGCCAAGTTGAAAACAAAGTGCCAAATGGGATGAAGTGGTTAGATTTGGAACAAGTTGCCTAATTGGGAACAGTTGGCTGATTGTCAAGGAGTTCCCTAATCGGGAAGAAGTTGCCCGGTAGGGATCAAGGTCCCAACTCAACTCAACTAGGGATGCCATGAACAATGAAACGTCAATGGCATTTGTAAACGCAGCTATATTGAGCTCAGAAGCACCCACCATCATGTGTCGGCATCGTAATGTATGGGAGCGTAATGGTGATCATGATAAGTAGCAGGGAGCACTGCGCTGCACTCCTTCAGAAATTTCTCGGAAACAGATGATGCTCTACTGCCGCAATTGTGGCACCAGAAGTTCTGCCCTTCTGCTCTTATCTCAATGCGCCCTAAGCCTTGATGCAAAACGGCGACCAGAAGTGTGAACTGCTTTAAGCCCATATGTCATGCTAGACTGACTAGAAGCGTAGACTTACAACATAACAAGCTTTATCAAATTTGAGATGCAGTCAGGAACAGACCCAGTGAAGCTGTTCTCCGCGAAAATGCTGGCATGGCAAGCAGAAACAACATAACAAAGATTGAGGAGCTGGGGGATTGGCGTGCTGTGTGAATTGAAGTATATAGCGCACTCGCCTACGTTTGGGGGCTTACTTACATCCATTATGAGGTATAGGAATCACGTCTTTAATAGCGGTCAACAACAGCACCTCGTTGGAGATTTTACCAGGAGTGAGCGCATGGGAGTGCACGAAGTGCGCGGACGAAGTGCACTCACATGCATTGTGCATTTGTCATGCTACAGACTCCTTGTGGAATCTGACCAGTGAACGCGTTTGCACCAAGATCCCTGCACCAGCAGCAGACAAACCACATCTCGCATGCAGTTTTTTATCAATCGAACGAATCTGTGCACCATCAGACGAACCATTTTTCCTTACAGCTGCTGGTCACTAGTCTTTACGGAGATTATACAGCAGCAATGGCCACACACACATTGAGCAACCTCCATCTCACATCCCGCAATTCCATCTGCATTCTGCTCGCCACCTGTATACAACTCTGCTCGTACACACTAAGCGCACTGCGTGCATAACTTGTGGCAATATGCATGCCCCTTTTCTGCACTCTTCTCTGTTCTGCACTTTGCATGTGCTAAATATACCCACACTGTGGCCGCTCCTGACATCCCTCAAGTACATCTGCCTTCTGCCCTCCGAGTCTCACTTAAATCGCTTCTTTCAATGACTCATATTGAAACTGAACAAATTTGCTCACAACGTATCCAGTCGTCGCAGCGCTGAGATGGTCTTGGGAAGGTCGCCTGTGAACGCGTTGTACGGCAAAGTCCTGCGACAAGCAAACACCAGGTCGTACAGCATCACAAGCATTGGAATCGGATGGATGGCGTCCAACGGTCCAAGGCAGCAGGATCACATCACAGGCATCCAGATGGCACAAACGCTCTCAAATGCGCCTCAGAATTTTTTTTGTAACGATCGCGTCGAACCTTGCGCCTTGAGCCGCCTTAAGAGTACAGTTGTATTTCCAGTTGAAAAGTCAGTTGCAAGGCAGGAAAGCAATACTGGGTAGACATCAAGCTAGCATTGTGGTCATCACTATTTCGATTCAATATCAGATCAGAGCCCAAGCCCCTTACAAGTAGACCAAATTGGTAAGCTGTCCGATAGCCGATGGAACAGTGCCACTGAAACGATTCCTGGAAAGGTCCCTACGACAGACAATCAAGGTTGGAAGATAAGGGTTTGACATGAGGAGTGCTGTATAGTCAGATGCATGTGGTGCACAGGGTGCTGGCAGGTGGGATTTGGGTACGGTGCATGGGGTGCTGGCTGGCAGGTGGAATTCGGTGCATGGGGTCCTG